CCCACCTGCTCCCGCCAGCCGCCGCAACCCCACCCCTCCTCTCTCGGTTGCACTCCTGAATGCCCGTTTGGTTTGCAACAAGCTCACCGCCATCCATGACCTCTTTGTCTCCCACTCCCTCAACCTCCTAGCGGTCACCGAAACCTGGATCCAAGCCACTGACTCCACCTCCCCTGCAGAACTCACCTATGGAGGCCTCGTCTGGACCCACTCACCCAGATTGAGTGGTCGCAGAGGTGGTGGGGTCGGCATGCTCCTGTCACCGCTGAGCACCTTCCAGGTCCTCCCTAACCCCCCCTCCCTATCCTTTTCCTCATTCGAGGCCCACTGCATCCGGCTCTTCTCTCCCACCCCTCTGAGGATTGCAGTAATCCAGCGGCCTCCTGGACCCATATCCCGCTTCCTGGACGACTTTGCTGCCTGGCTTCCCTTCTTCCTCTCCTCTGAGCTACCGATCATCATCCTTGGGGACTTCAATATCCCCATCAACGTTAACAACCCGGCTACTTCCCAACTCCTCCTCCTAACCTCCTCTTTCACGCTTACAGAGTGTACACAGTCCTCCACCCACACCAATGGGAACACCCTGGACCTCGTTTTCTCCCACCTCTGTACCCTCCACAACTTCACAGACACCCCCTTCCCTCTCTCTGACCACCACTTCCTCACGTTCTCCGTCTCCCCCTCCTCCAACTCCCCCCCCAAAGCATCAAACCATCACCAGCCGTAACTTCCGCAACCTGAACCCGGCCCCTCTCCACTCGGCAGCTGACCGTCTGTACAACAGTATCCTTCCCCTGTCATGCCCTGACCTGGCCACTACTGCGTTCAACGACTCACTGTTGGCTGCCCTAGACTCCCTGGCACCCCTAACCACATGCAACATCAGACACCCGACCACTTCAACCCTGGCAGAATGACCATACAAAATGTCTCAAATGACGCAGTCATGCACTTGAGCGATTATGGTGCAAAACCAGATCCCCCTCGAACGTTCTCCCTCTACAAATCCGCCTTCCTCACCTACACCTCCTCCCTCCACGCCGCCAAGCAAGCCTACTTTGTAACCCTCATTAACACCCTCTCCACCTATCCTCGCCGGCTCTTCTCCACTTTCAACTCCCTGCTCTCCCCCCCCCACCTAGACTCAGTACCTCACTTACCACCCACGAGATTGCCAAAACAAGGTTGACGCAATCCATAAGGACATTGTCAATTCACAATCTACCTCTCCACCTAGCCTCCCTCCCTCCATACCCCCTCAACTCTCCCCTCCACCACACCTAAATGTCCCACACACTATAACCTCCCCAAAACTCCGCTCCTTCAGCCCTGCTACCACTGAGGAGGTCACTGAGGTCTTCACTGAAGCCCGCCTCACCTCTTGCCCCCTGGACCCTATCCCCTCACAACTCCTCCAGTCACCCCCCTCCTCCATCATTCGCTCCCTCACCCACATCTTCAATCTCTCCCTCTCTACTGGCGCATTCCCCTCCCCCCTAAAGCACGTGCACATCATCCCCATACTGAAAAAACCCTCCCTGGACCCCACTAACCTGAACAACCTTAGACCTATCTCCCTGCTGCCATTCACTTCCAAGCTCCTTCAGTGCTTAGTCTACAATCGCCTAAGTGCCCACCTCACTGACAACAACCTCCTTGATCCACTACAGTCTGGCTTCCATCCCCTGCACTCCACCGAAACCGCCCTACTTAAAATCACTAACGACCTGCTAACTGCCAAAGCTAATGGCCACTACTCAGTCCTCCTACTCCTCGACCACCCCCCTCCTCCTTACTAAACTACACTCCCTTGGCATCAGGGACTCTGCTCTCTCCTGGTTCTCCTCTTACCTATCCCAATGCTCCTTCAGCGTTACCTATAACGCTGCCACCTCCCCCTCTCTCCCCCTCATCTGTTGGGGTCCCCCAAGGCTCTGTCCTCGGACCCCTTCACTTCTCCATCTACACCTCCTCCCTTGGCAAACTGATATACTCCCATGGGTTCAACTATCACCTCTATGCCAATGACACACAAATTTTACCTCTCCACCCCTCACCTTACCCCCTCACTCTCCGCCCGCATCACCCACCTCCTAAACAACATATCAGACTGGATGTTGCTCCATTTCCTCAAGTTAAACCTTTCCAAAACCGAGCTCCTAGTTTTCCCCCCCAGCCCGCGCCCCCCCTCCCATCCTCTCCATCATGACTAACAACACTACCATCAATCCCACCCACACGCCAAAGTCCTAGGTGTCACCCTGGACTCAAACCTTTCCTTCCAACCTCATGTCCAACCACTATCAAATTGTCACGATCATAAACCTCTGTCCCCAATCCTCATGCAGGCTCCACCTCCGCAAACATCTCCAAGAAACATATGTTCCTCCACCCAGACACCACTAAACAAACAACTCGTACACTCCCCTATATTATCTCATGCCTAGACTACTGCAACTCCCTTCTCACTGGCCTACCTAATCACAGACTATCCCCGCTCCAGTCTATCCTGAATTCAGCGGCTAGACTCATCCACCTCACCAACCGCTCCACTTCTGCCACCACCCCCACTCTGCCAATCCCTTCACTGGCTCCCGATTTCCCAACGCAGTAAATTAAAATTACTAACTCTAACATACAAAGCCATTCATAATGCTGCCCCCAAACTACCTCACTGACCTGATACCCAAATATACCACCTTACCTAAACCACTGCTAACCCACAATACCCCATTCATCTGCCAAACACTCCTCACTGACCTGACCCAACATCCACCCTTACCCGTGCCCCTCGTCACTCACAAAGACCTCCTACTCTCTCCTCCAACTGGTCCCTCCTCCACCGCCCGACTGCAGGACTTCCCCCATCCTCTGGAACTCACTACCCCAATCCATCAGACTGTCACCTACCCTCCTCACCTTCAGGTGCACCTTGAAAACCCATCTCTTCAGGCAAGCCTACCCCACCCTCACCCTAAAATACCACAGCCGTTCTCCTCCACTCCTCCTACCACTCCATCCCCCTCAGCCACTTCCTCCTGTACCTCTCTACCCCCTCCCTCCTAGATTGTAAGCTCGAAAGAGCAGGGCCCTGTATCGAACACCCCTCGTGTACCCTCAAGAGCAGGGCCCTCGAACCCCCTCGTGTATTGTGTTGTTACTGTATTGTCTCATGTACTGTCCCCCCCACTTTAATGTACAGCGCGCTGCGCAAACCTTTTGGCGCTATAATAAACACTGTATAATAATAATAATCCCAGAGTTGCCAGAATTTTGGAAAATCCCCTCCCCACAATGGCATCATGTGGTAAGTGAGGCAACAACCCTGCAGACAAAAAGAGGGTTTGTGAAAAGAAATTCACAGAAAAGCGGCTACATTATGAACAGAATGCGATACTCAGAAAAATTTCCAAAAAATTATGCTTTATTTCACATTAATGATTGACATATGGGCAATCGCCCTGGTTTACCATCACCTCAGTATGAGACAATACACACAGACCTAAAACCATTAAAAATCAATCACACCAAGACCGGTCTAGGTATGTGTGCTACAAAGGCTATGACCACAATAGTCTAAAGCACTTGCAGCACTGGCACATAGGTAACACTTCCTAAAGGAGGTATATACAAAAATTATACCATAGGTATGCAATATCACATGCTATATATGTAAGCATATATCATTACCATATAGGTTACACCCCATAAAGGGGATTTTCCAAAAATTATACCAAGGGTATATCATATCACATGCATGCAAAACGACGGACACAGTAATCGTCAAAAGAGAGCATGACCCTGAGCCTATAGAAGGCAATATATGGGTAAAACATAATATATGCAGTACAACCCTATGCCGGCACACGTGGTTGGGGCCCATTAATCTGTAATAAACGTGAATAGTTGTAAGGATTCTTATAATTGAAAGAGTCCCTGTTGTTGCCTTGATGGAAAGATAGATGCAAATAGCAGAAGTCTGCTTTAAATGGTTTCTTCACCACAGCATGTGGACTGCAAACCACTTTAGTGTTGGAAACAAGATAAGGCCCAGTAGATCTTCCGCCTGTTGCAATATATGTAGTATGCCTTGTTTCTATGTAAAGCACCATAATGTCCCCATCCTGTAATAAGACAAACGATATAAAGGATAGTCACTGTAAGAGCTTTCACTCTATAGTAGATGTATGTTATCATATAGATCGCAAGGAACCTTTTTCAAATGTCCTGTAACAGTCCACTCACCACCTGTGCTATGGGTAGTAGAAAAAAGAAGAGAAATCCTTCATAGGTACTGCCGTGTTGATCCAGGGAACCACCGCTTACATCAGCCGACATTTCGCGGGTTCCGACCTCTCCATGGCGCCTGTACAGCCTTTGCATGACTCATGGCATGTGAAAATGGCTACCTCCTTGTAGGTCGGCGTGCGTATCACCAGTGCGCATGACCGGAAGTGACGTATCTGACGTATGACGTCAACGCGTTTCGCCGATGGGCGTATCTTACTCAGCTTCGTCAGGACCAATGAGATTCCTGCATTTCAGCTTCCTATTTATAGTGGTTTAGACCCACCCACTTATGCAAATAATTAACTTGCAGCTATTCTCAATGGGAAAAAGGGGCTAAATACTTAGCACAACAGCTGGTCATTATTTAAATTAAAAGAACAGGCAACTGGATATATCAAAGAGAGGAAAGGCTTGGCAATTCTATCAATGCAAAAAGAGATAAAAAATAATAAATAAAAAGTTACCACACACTCACCAGAAGATGGCAATATTAATGAAAGAGTCTCCAAACCTGGTCATTAAGTCAAAGGTATCTAAAATCGCAATATTAATTACCACAAAAACCACCACAAGATGGCGAAATTTAATTAAAGGATCCCTATACAGCAGCGTTTCTCAACCTGGGGGTCGCGACCCCTTTGGGGGTCGAACGACTCTTTCACAGGGGTCACCTAAGACCATCGGAAAACACATATTTCCGATGGTGTTTAGGAACCGAGACACCGCTGCTCTATCCGTCTCCAGGTGTGGACGGGATGACATGCCGCCCCTGTCATCTGGACACACCCTCGGGATCCTCGCCGGTGATTGGCCCCCGGAACTGTAGCTCAGGAGAGGCACACAGGCGGCCAATCACCGGCGAGGAGGTGGAGCTTGGAGAGGAGGAGCCGAGCGGCCACCGCGAAGATCGAGCGGGTGAAGAGGAGGAGAGCGGCCGGAGAAAGAAGACAGCTGACAGGTAAGTGTCTGTACCATGGGAGAGGGAGGGAGCGAGCCCAGGCTGGAGCAGGGGTCAGCAAGGTAAGTATCATTGGTGTCAGTGGGAGGATTAGTGCCCCATCATTGGATCCACTACTACCAATGATGGGGCACTATTCCTCCCACTGACACCAACGATGAGGCACGATTCCTCCCCCCACTGACACCAACGATGAGGCACGATTCCTCCCCCCACTGACACCAACAATGGGGCACTATTCCTCCCCCCACTGACACCAACAATGGGGCACTATTCCTCCCCCCACTGACACCAACGATGGGGCACTATTCCTCCCCCCACTGACACACCAACGATGGGGCACTATTCCTCCCCCCACTGACACCAACGATGGGGCACTATTCCTCCCCCCACTGATACCACCAAACAGATGGGGCACTATTTCCTCCCCCACTGACACCAACGATGGGGCACTATTCCTCCACTGACACCAACGATGGGGCACTATTCCTCCCACTGATACCAACGATGGGGCACTATTCCTCCCACTGACACCAGTGATGGGGTGGCTATTCCTCCCACTGATACCAATGATGGGGCACTATTCCTCCCACTGATACCAATGTTGGGGCACTTTTCCTCCCACTGACATCAGTGATGGGACACTTTTCTCCCACTGACACCAGTGATGGGACACTTTTCTCCCCCACTGACACCAGTGATGGGACACTTTTCCTCCCACTGACACCAGTGATGGGACACTTTTCCTCCCACTGACACCAGTGATGGGACACTTTTCCTCCCACTGACACAGTGATGGGACACTTTTCCTCCCACTGACACCAATGATGGGGCACTATTCCCCCCACTGACACCAATGATGGGGCACTATTCCTCCCACTGACACCAATGATGGGGCACTATTCCTCCCACTGACACCAATGATGGGGCACTATTCCCCCCACTGACACCTATGATGGGGCACTATTCCCCCCCTCTAGCACACTTACACTATGATGGGGCACTATTCCCCCCCACTGACACCAATGATGGGGCACTATTCCCCCCACTGACACCTATGACGGGCACTATTCCTCCCACTGACACCAATGACGTGGCACTATTTCTCCCACTGACACCAATGACGGGGCACTATTCCTCCACTGACACCAATGACGGGGCACTATTCCTCCCACTGACACCAATGACGGGGGCACTATTCCTCCCACTGACACCAATGACGGGCACTATTCCTCCCACTGACACCAATGACGGGGGGCACTATTCCTCCCACTGACACCAATGACGGGGCACTATTCCTCCCACTGACACCAACGATGGGGCACTATTCCTCCCCCCACTGACACCCAACGATGGGGCACTATTCCTCCCCCACTGACACCAACGATGGGGCGCTATTCCTCCCCCCACTGACACCAACGATGGGGCGCTATTCCTCCCCCCACTGACACCAACGATGGGGCGCTATTCCCCCCACACTGACACCAATGATGGGGCACTATTCCTCCCACTGACACCTATGATGGGGCACTATTCCTCCCACTGACACCAATGACGGGGCACTATTCCTCCCACTGACACCAATGACGGGCACTATTCCTCCCACTGACACCAATGACGGGGCACTATTCCTCCCACTGACACCAATGATGGGCACTATATTCCCCCCACTGACACCTATGATGGGGCACTATTCCTCCCACTGACACCTATGATGGGGCACTATTCCTCCCACTGACACCAATGATAGGGCACTATTCCTACCACTGACACCAATGATGGGGCATTATTCCTACTACTGATACCAATGATGGGGCACTATTCCTCCCATTGACATCAGTGATGGGACACTATACCTCCCACTGACACCAATGACGTGGCACTACTCCTCCCCTCCTAATCTGCAAAAATTACAGTTATGAAGTAGAAACGAAAATAATTTTATGGTTGGGGGTCACCACAACATGAGGAACTGTATTAAGGGTTCGCGGCATTAGAAAGGTTGAGAACCACTGCTATACAGGGTTATTTTGCCAAAGATACCTAAAACTCAAAATAACCATTTATTAGCATACAGCTATTTTCAATAGAGAGGAGGCTAATTAGCTCAATAGTTAGTCCTTTTCCACTTCTAGACTTGTATTCAAATATAGACCAACAGGCCATTGAACACCTCCCCAGAGAGAAAGGCTTATCTTAATACTTTAACATGTTATTTAACCATTAATGGAGATAAAGAATTACCACAGATTAGCCATAAAATGGCAATATGAAGCAAAAAACCATATAGATCTATTTATCCAGAAATACCTGGAGATCACATTCAACATTTAACCCCTTTGGGTACAATGTATCAAGTTTATATATCCAATATTTTTCCTTTCTTAGTAATTCCTTATCAAAAAATCACCTCTCCTTTGGGGAAAATGCAATGCATATAAACCTTTCACTTTTGTACCATCCAATTTACCTCCATGATACTTGGCATAATGTTGGGCAAGATTACTTTCAGGATCATTGGATCTGATATCTCTAAAGTGTTCACCTATTCGTACTTTAAGTTGTCTTTTAGTCTTACCAATATACATCTTTTTTTACAGGGACAAGTCAATATGTATAATACTCTTACTGTAGAGCAATTTATAAGACTTTGAATTTTGTAGTGAGTGCTATTTCTTGAGTCATAGAAAGAATCTGTACGATCCACATATTTACAGATTTGACATTTTCCACATTTATACATCCCTTTAGTGCGTGATTTTAACCATGTTGTTTGTTTTAACGGTTGATAGTCAGAATGAATAAGGAGGTCACCAAGATTTGGTGCTCTTCTTACTACCATTTGGGGCGCGCTCACCTACAATTTTACTCAATTTGGGGCATTGGGTTAAAATCTTCCAATGTTTTTCTAATATTTGTTTCACAGCTTGCCATTGAGCTCCAAATTGGGTTATTATTCTAACAGGTTGCTCACTTAATTTAACCTTCTCATCCTTTTTAGGAGATAATAAATCCTTACGGTCAGTTTGATATGCCCGTCTCCGAGCTTTTCTAATTTGAGAGTGAGAATATCCCCGTTCTCTAAACCTTTTATAGAGGTCCTGTGCTTCCATCCTAAAATCATTGATATTCAAACAGTTTCTCCGACATCTCAGGAACTGTCCCACTGGGATTCCCGAAATCAGTGAACGTGGATGATAACTTCTGGCCTCTAATAAGGTATTAGCTGCAGTAGGTTTTCTAAACGTTTTTGTAAGGAGTCTACCGTCTCAAGTCTAATTTCCAGGTCAAGAAAGGAAATGCACCTTTCATCAAACACATATGTAAGTCCAATATTGAAAGAGTTTTGATTTAACTCCTCCATAAAAAGTTTTAATTCCTCTGATGTTCCTCTCCATACAAGGAAGACATCATCAATATATCTCAACCAAATCTGGACATTTGCAAGAAACCTTGCTGACCTGAAGACGACCTGCTCCTCCCAAAAACCTAAATGCAGACATGCATAGGCCGGAGCCCATGGTGCCCCCATACTAGTACCTCTGATCTGTTGATAAAAGGTATTGTTAAATTAGAAAAAAATTATGTCGTATGCAAATATGTCGGTTATGAAGGTAGGGAGTGAGTTTTCAAATTCTTCAATTCTCAGTATATTCATACTCATACATACTTTTTGGTTAGAAGACCCACCTCTTTTTTTATGTATTTTAGGGATGATATAAAAGGTAGGGTGATTAAATTCCCAATATTAAGATAGAGTTTAATTTTTTCACCACCACATGAAAAGGATTAGTGGCTAATTTCCTATACGTAGATGAATCCCCCAGTAGGCGCTTCACCTCTTTGACATAGTTTTGTTCATTTAAAATAATTACATTACCCCCCTTATCACTTCTCTTAATTACAATATTTTTGGTCTCTTTTAATTCTTTAAGGGCTTTTCTTTCTTTCTTTGTAAGATTGTCACCAATTGGCATTCTCCACTCAAGGTTTTTAAGATCATCAGCAACTAAATCTAGAAATGCCGATATCCTCATGTTGGAACGTATTTTTGGCATTTTGGTCGACCTAATATTTAGATCGACTTTTCTAATCACATCATTGTGATTATCCAGTTCTACTTCATTCTCATCACCATCATCACTTTCCTCCATGAGAGATATCAACATATCGAGCATTTTCCGATCCTCAATGGAAGAATCCGAACCCATATCCTCCAACATAGTGGGATTACCATGTATCAATCTTAAAAAAACTTTTCTTAAAAATAAATTAACATCTTTAAATACTTCGAATTCATCCATGGGGGTCACTGGTGAAAAGGACATACCTTTATTCAATAAAGTAATATGTTCCCTTCTGAGTGGAAAATTATCCAAATTGATTACCTTCTTATCATCATCAACTACCTCCTCTGACTTCTTGTTCTGCCCTTGTCCTCCTGATGTTTGTTTTTTTAAGGATTCCTCTATTTTCTTTTTGGTTCCTCTTCCCATCTGTAGTTGATTGATTCGGGAAGTTCTCCATCTTGTTGGTCTAAAAAAGATACAGATTTACCAAGATTTTCAGAATCACTTTCACTAGACATGGTTTCCCCCATTGATCTAGAGTGTGAACGAAAAACTCTTCGTTTAGATCGACTTCTACCTCTTTTTATAGTAAGGTCAAAGATCTCTCCTGTTTCCCAATCTTTAAGGTCACGTCTAAATTTAGTTTGTTTAGTGGTTCTAAGATTTTTTTGAACCTTTTCAACTTCTTTTTTAAGTTGTTCATTATATTTTTCAAAATTCTCCTGATTTTTAAAGGGGTCTAATCCTTCTACACTTTTACTGATAGCCAGATCCAATTCTTCAAGTTGCAATTTTTCTTCCTCAACAATAAGTTTCATACCTTTAATTCCATGTTCTATGCATAGCACCTTCCATTTCTCTAAAAAAAACCTTTCACTATGTAGATGTTCAGCCGGGACAACCTTACTCCTCAAACCCACGTGGGATAATATTCTGTCTAATGTAGGCTTCCAAGAAGCATACATCCCATTTCCGGTTAAGACGCTTAATAACCAGCTTTT